AAACACGAATCAAGGAACATGAAAGGCACTGGAGACTATTTCAACCAGAGAAGTCAGCCATAGCAGAGCACCTGATGAACCAACATGGACACAGCATATTATTTGAGGACACAGAAATGCTGGACCACTCTCACAACCACCATGTCAGACTACACAGAGAAGCCATTGAAATCACAAGCATGTGGACAATTTCAACAGAAAGGAGGAAACCATGAAAATGAACAAAATCTGGCTACCAGTATTAAAAAAACTCTAAAATTGCAACAGCACAACAGAGAGGAAACAAGCAAGGACATCTAATCACCTTTCAACAAAATTTTGCTCCAGGCACAGTCAGGCCATTGTATGCTAATCGAGGTGGTCAGTTGAAACTTTCACACCTAGCTCCAGCAAACAAGAGTCCTTTGTCCCACCCTGGTCATTCCACAGATATATAAACCTTTTTTCCTAGTTCCAACAGACCTCACTACCTCTGAGGATGCTTGCCACAGATGCAGGCAGAACGTCAGGAGAGAATGCCTCTAGACCATAGCCATATAGCCCGAAAAAAACCTACAACAACCGAAACATCATAATTTACATACAAAAGGAATATGTCAAGAGGCCTAGAGGGACTCAAAAGTTTACAAAAGTGAAAAACTAATTTCATGAGGTTGCTAAACAATGGGAAACTGACACAAGATGGAACACATTTTATTAGCATGAAATGCTAGCTGATTATTAGAGGGAAGGGAAAGAGAAAAGCATGCATATACTGTATACTGCATATGCCAAATCTACTTAAAGCTAACGTTGGAATCCCAAACAGGAACATCACAGGATTCTGTTGCAAGTTCCAATTGTGTACATGATATATTATTTTCCCTGATTACAGATTTGACTGCTGTCGCCAAAACCTTCCAAATTACTGTGATCTGAACACAATTCAATCTAGTCTGGAAAATATTTGACATCTTATTTTAGGCTTTTCTTTATATTGCAAACATAATGTGAGGAATTGCAAGATGCAGTGGATGGAATTTTTGCTTCATGATGAAGATTGCGAATATTTGGCATGGATTGAAGAGAACAGATATGGCGACAAGACCAAGATTTGCAATTTCCATAAAAGGGGTATTCTCAATATACCTTTGCTTAGTAATTCTGAAAATGTGAGCCTCGCATTTTTGCTTGCAAACAAGGGGTTGGCCTTCTGTAATCTTCCATTCATAATACAATGTGTTCTAGAAGAAAATCAAATGAAAATGTAAGCTTCCTACTACTTCTGAGGACATGGCCATATAGCCTGAAAAAACCTACAACAACCCAGTGATTCCGGCTGTGAAAGCCCTCTCAGCCCGGTCATAGCTAACTTCTACCTCACTACCTCTGAGGATGCTTGCCATAGATGCATGCGAAACGTCAGGAGAGAATGCCTCTAGAACATGGCCATATAGCCCGAAAAAACCTACAACAACCCAGTCCAATGTAAGCTTGTCTTACACCACATATGACCATTAATCCATGTACCTTTGATATCCACACTGACATGTAGAGGGTTTCTAAAGTGTCTTAGATGAAAACTGCATCATAATTCAGTAGGAACACTTACAAAAATCAAAGCCAGCCAATATGTCCCACAGAAAGTTCTCAAGCAGTCACGTTTTAATCAAACTTGGTAAGGTGTAAGATGGTTTTCCCCAGGCAGTCTGTTCCAAAGAGCCAGTTGGCTATTGAGAAAACTCCACTCTAGGTCACATATCTTAGAAACATTATTTTTGAACTACCACAATCCCCTAGCAACAATGGATACCGGTCATGCTGTCTGAGAGAAGCTAGGAGTATCAATCCAAAAAGTCCCCAGTGGCGCAGTGGGTTAAACCCCTGTGCTGGCAGGACTGAAGACCGACAGGTCGCAGGTTCAAATCCGGGGAGAAGCGGATGAGCTCCCTCTATCAGCTCCAGCTCCTCATGCGGGGACATGAGAGAAGCCTCCCACAAGGATGATAAAAACATCAAATCATCCAGGCGTCCCCTGGGCAACGTCCTTGCAGGCGGCCAATTCTCTCACACCAGAAGCGACTTGCAGTTTCTCAAGTTATAAATTTGTTAGGGGCATCCAACGAGGAAACAAAACTCAAAAAAACCCCAACGAAACTTAACCAAAATTCCCATGCCCATAACACAACCCACAAGGTACAAACATATCTACTCAAAATGAAAAACAACACAACAACACACTCACAAAACGGCAAAACAACAAAACTCAAAAAACCCCCAACGAAACTTAACCAAAATTCCCCTGCCCATAACACAACCCACAAGGTACAAACATATCTACTCAAAATGAAAAACAACACAACAACACACTCACAAAACGGCAAAACAACAAAACTCAAAAATCCCCCAACGAAACTTAACTAAAATCCCCGTGCCCATAACATAACCCACAAGGTACAAACATACCTACTCAAAATGAAAAACAACACAGCAACACACTCACAAAACGGCAAAACAACAAAACTCAAAAAATCCCCCAACGAAACTTAACCAAAATCCCCGTACCCATAACACAACCAACAAGGTACAAACATATCTACTCAAAATGAAAAACAACACAACAACACACTCACAAAACGGCAAAACAACAAAACTCAAAAATCCCCCAACGAAACTTAACTAAAATCCCCGTGCCCATAACACAACCCACAAGGTACAAAACATATCTACTCAAAATGAAAAACAACACAGCAACACACTCACAAAACGGCAAAACAACAAAACTCAAACCCCAACGAAACTTAACCAAAATTCCCATGCCCATAACACAACCCACAAGGTACAAACATATCTACTCAAAATGAAAAACAACACAACAACACACTCACAAAACGGCAAAACAAAAAACTCAAAAAACCCCAACGAAACTTAACCAAAATTGCCATGCCCATAACACAACCCACAAGGTACAAACATATCTACTCAAAATGAAAAACAACACAACAACACACTCACAAAACGGCAAAACAACAAAACTCAAAAATCCCCCAACGAAACTTAACTAAAATCCCCGTGCCCATAACACAACCCACAAGGTACAAACATATCTACTCAAAATGAAAAACAACACAACAACACACTCACAAAACGGCAAAAGAACAAAACTCAAAAAAACCCCAACGAAACTTAACCAAAATTCCCATGCCCATAACACAACCCACAAGGTACAAACATATCTACTCAAAATGAAAAACAACACAACAACACACTCACAAAACGGCAAAACAACTGAGCATGCGCATTGGCGCCCAGCCGCAAGTTCCCTGGCGCGCGCACATGGCCTTCCGGCCAACGTTCCCTCTGCGGAAACCATGCCCACTCCAAGCCCCGCCGCGCCGCTTCCCACACACACACACCCTGCCACACACACACACGCAACCCCACGCTCCATCACTCCCCCCGCCGCCGCACACACACACGCAACCCCACGCTCCATCACTCCCCCCACCGCCGCACACACACGCAACCCCACTCCCCCCCGCCACACACACGCAACCCCACTCCCCCCCGCCGCCGCACACACACACGCAACCCCACGCTCCATCACTCCCCCGCCACCGCACACACACACAACCCCACGCTCCATCACTCTCCCACCCCAATCTTACCTCCTTTTACTTCACGCCACCTCCAAACCCCACCCCGCCCCTTCCCGCCCTGTCAAAATCTAGGAAAGACAGGAAGGAAGGAAAGAAGGAAGAAAGAGAAAGGGAGGTAAAGAAAAAGGGGGAAGGAAGGAAAGTTAGAGGAAGAAGAAAAGGAAAGAAAAGGAAAGATGGAAGGAAAGAAAAGAGAGACAGCAGAAGAGAAAGAAAAAGGGGGAAGGAAGGAAAGAGATAGAGAAAGAAGAGGAGAAGGAAAGATGGGAAGGAAGGAAGGAAGGAGGGAAAGAAGGAGGGAGGGAAGGAAGGAAGGAGGGAGGGAAAGAAGGAGAGAAAGAGGGAAGATTGGCCACAGCAACACGTGGCGGGTAAAGGTTGTTATTTCTATTATTATTATTATGCTATTGTTCCTATGAGACCCTTTTAGGGGGAATGGGAGAGGTGTCAGGTCCCAGAGGCAATGCATTGCATTATTGTTATTGTTATGATGGTGGTGAAATAAAAGGAAATAAAAAGTGAAAGAAGGAAGCAAACAGGGAGGGAAGAAAGGCAAAGGAAGAAAGGGGGAGGGAATGAAGGAAAGAGAGAAGGATGAAACCAAGTAGTGAAAGAAGGAAAGAAAGAAAGAGGTAGAGAAGGAAGAAAGTAGAGAAAGGGGGAGGAAAGGGGGAAGGAATAGGTAGGGACCTCTCTTTCATAATAGTCCAGATATCTACCTCAACTTTGATAAGTTTTACTATAGGCCACAGCAACGCGTGGCAGGGCACAGCTAGTAAATAAATAAATCCAAAAAGTAACTTTTCCTAATTCTGTATGTAAAGGGATTGTGTTGCTTCTTAGAGACTGATACAACAAAGTCGGTAGCATAAGCTCTCATCACATCAATGGTTTTCTCCATCTTTGTGCACTGCCAACACACCAAAGCCCATCCAATGACTTAGAACTACTTCCGGTGGGGCTCCGTTGGACTTTGTGACTACCCGACTCCTATATACTAAGCCAGGGACAGAAGGAAAGTGCATGGGATGGTAGCCATGAACAACCATGGTAAGGGGACAAAGCAGTATCCTGCTCCGCAGTTTCCCCCACTGTCCCCCACTATCAATGTGATGAGGTCCTGAGTCTACTTCCTCAGATGCACTATAGGTTTATTTTACGTGAGCTGACACTACCAACTTCATTCTGCTCATTAGTCTTTACAATGTTACAAAAATCCTTGGCATACAGATGAATCGTTTTGAAAATTCTCCCTAGCTCTGCTTGGTTTTACTTGAGCTAAAGAGAGAAGCAAGAACAATATTCCTCTGCCAGGCATTTAAGGGTGAGGGGAAGATGCTTTAAATCCGGCCACATACTTACTCCCACTCCTTCCGCCTTGCTTGTGGCGTGCTCTGTATCTTATGAGCTTCATGCGCTTTAACGATATCCCGCTGTTCAATCAGGCCTCCTCGCCGGCGCTTGATGACTTCAGGGCTCACAGGGAGAAGCTGGCTCTGCCCCACATCAAAAGTGCTGCTGCCATCCAAACCCAAACTGGATTCCATGTCCTGTGAACGCAGCTCATAGAGGGCGTCAAAGCTGGCAGTCCGTGAGACAAGAGCATCACTCAAGGTCTCTGGGTCAAGCAAGTTGCAAGACTGAGTAGACTGCATTGGTCCGAGCCTGTGCTTTCGCCATTCCTCTTCTTCTGGTAGGGCCAGCACACATCTGTGGGGATCATTTTCCAATTCAGGGGCTCCATCCGCAGGAAAACCTGCCTCAGAGAGCATGTGAGTGCTGATGGAACACGTGCTGAGGCTGAGCATCATGGATACACCTGCAGGGCATCACTCTGTGGAGGCAAAGGAAGGGAAGAAAAGTTAGCAATGGGATTCTGTGGCAGATTAAGGCCAGAGCAGAAGCAGAATTCAAATCAATCTTAACAGATTAGAGAGATGGGCCAAAACTAACAAAATGAATTTCAACAGTGACAAATTCAAGATACTCCACTTAGGCAGAAAAAAGGAAATGCAAAAATACAGAATGGGGGACGCGTGTCTCGAGAGCAGTATGTGTGAAAAAGATCTTGGAGTCCTCGTGGACATGAGCAAACAATGTGATGCAGCGGCAAAAAAAGCGAATGGGGTTTTGGCCTGCATCAATAGGAGTCTAGTGTCTAGAGCCAGGGAAGTCATGCTACCCCTCTATTCTGCCTTGGTTAGACCACACCTGGAATATTGTGTCCAATTCTGGACACAATTGAAGGAAGATATTGACAAGCTGGAATGTGTCCAGAGGAGGGCGACTAAAATGATCAAGGGTCTGGAGAACAAGCCCTATGAGGAGCAGCTTAAAGAGCTGGGCATGTTTAGCCTGAAGAAGAGAAGACTGAGAGGAGACATGATAGCCATGTATGTGAGAGGAAGTCATAGAGAGGAGGGAGCAAGCTTGTTTTCTGCTGCCCTGGAGACTAGGACGTGGAACAATGGCTTCAAACTACAAGAAAGGAGATTCCATCTGAACATTAGGAAGAACTTCCTGACTGTGAAAGTTGTTCAGCAGTGGAACTCTCTGCCCCGGAGTGTGGTAGAGGCTCCTTTGGAAGTTTTGAAACAGAGGCTGGATGGCCATCTGTCGGGGGTGGCTTTGAATGCAATATTCCTGCTTCTTGGCAGGGGGTTGGACTGGATGGCCCATGAGGCCTCTTCCAACTCTATGATTCTATTGTTCTAGGTCAGGGTTCCACAAACGTTTTCAACAGAGGGCCAGGTCACAGTTCCTTAAACTGTTGGAGGGCCAGATTATAATTTGAAAAAAAAATGAATGAATTCTTATGCACGCTGCACATATCTTATTTGTAGTGCAAAAACACTTAAAACCAATACAATACCCCGGAGTGTGGTAGAGGCTCCTTCTTTGGAAGCTTTTAAACAGAGGCTGGACGGCCATCTGTTAGGGGTGCTTTGGATGCAATTTTCCTGCTTCTTGACAGGAGGTTGGACTGGATGGCCCATGAGGTCTCTTCCAACTCTATGATTCCTCTTGATAAATCCATATAAACTGTGCACTGCCATATCCACACAACACATTGGACAACAAGAATTGAGAAGTGGGACCTCATCATAAAGACCCATGGATTTGCCCCGCATTGTGGTGAATTCATGGCCTCCTGGTGGGGGGCATGGATAACCCATCACTCCACACCCCACATTGCCCACCTTACATGCCCCTCATCTAATGGGGGAAATGTTGCCCCCCAGCTTCCCCCCACTACTGAGAAGGCAACACGAGAAGACTCCCATGTTGCTACCATGGTGGCATGCACTGCTTCCTCTCCCTTTTTGGCACAAAGCCTGGCTGAAAATATCTGTGTATTGTGGGAAGGGCTCTGAACAGAAAGTGGAGGGGAAGCAGCATACAATAGGCAAATTGGCCTGTGTGATGAGGTGATTCAGGACCTGCCTAACTGTGTGACCGCATCCTCCCTTACGAGCCCACGCGGTCCTTAAGATCTTCCGGGGATGCCCTTCTCTCGCTCCCACCCCCATCTCAGGCCCGGTTGGTGGGGATGGGAGAGAGGGCATTCTCGGTGGTGGCCTCCCGTCTCTGGAACTCCCTCCCCAGGGAGATTAGGCTGGCACCCTCCCTAGCCACATTCTGTAAGGAATTAAAGATGTGGATGTTTTGTCATGCTTTTGACTGACGATGGCCTGCATCATGACTTTAATTGTCCTTCAATCTGATGTCCTATATGTGCCGTCGCTGCCTGGGAATCTATAGTTCTTAGTAAAAAAAGAAAAAGGATGTGGCAACTATTTCCCAGGGGATTGCTTCTTGCCTTTATTTAGGGAAACTGGAACTCCCGAGGATCACCAAAACACCATAGTTAAGTTGAGATAGGCTTTGTTGTTCAAAGAGTTATCTTTCTGAGGTAAAATGGGGGTAAAGAAAAAAATACATAACAGTCTTTGGTTGTCTTTGTGCCCAAGGAGTTTTTAGCTGAGAAGCCTTCCAATCTCCCTCTCTCTCAATGGCTGTGAGGTCGAAACACTCACAACCCCAAGTCCCAATGGCCTCTATTCGAAGGACAAGGCCTTCCTCTGGTGCCAAAGGAAATGGTATGAAGGCGCCTGAGACTTCCCAATGTCATTCAGGTTGGTCTGAACATAAAGCATAAGTCTCAGGGGTGAAAAACCTAAGAATTGGTGGTAAGAAATGACTTGACCAGGGGCTTTGGGCCAAGCTTTACACACATCCATCTAATGAGCCTTTTTTGTGAGGTAAAAAAGGCGAGAGAGAGAGAGATACCTTTCTCCCTTGGAAGGGGCAGAACCTAAACAAATGAGCTGGGGAAGCAAGCCAATTGGTGTACAACAACATAGATTGACAGATGTAAATAACCAATGAAAGTCAACTATACATATACAAGGCAGACAAGCTTAATACAACAGTTTAAATCTAGTAACTAACAATTCTATTATTTATTTACTTTATTTATTTACTTTATTTATTTACTTTATTTGTATACCGCATTCTCTCAGCCCGTAGGCGACTCAGTGCGGTTTACAACCAGGTCAATATACAAAGTGCACAACACTAGCATTTAAAAACAGTAACTAAGGCAACTACATCAATATAACAGCAAATCAATACTTCTATATAACGTCAATACATCCATATAATTAACCCATCACGTCTCATCAGTAAAATCATAATCCGATTTCCTCATCCATTATTCCAAGTTCCAAGATCAATCAGTTAATTGCACTGCTTAATTAAACGCCTGTTCAAAGAGCCAGGTCTTCACTCTTCTTCTGAACGTCAGCAGGGAGGGGGCTGACCTAATGTCTGCGGGAAGGGCGTTCCACAGCCAAGGGGCCACCACTGAGAAGGCCCTGTCTCTCGTCCCCGCCAGCTGTGCCTGTGAGGCTGGCGGGATCGAGAGCAGGGCCTCCCTGGACGATCTTAATGTCCTAACTGGTTCATAGGGGGTGATGCGTTCGGACAGATAGGTCGGGCCAGAACCGTTTAGGGCTTTAAAGGCTAAAGCCAGCACTTTGAATTGTGCCCGGTAGCAGATTGGCAGCCAGTGGAGCTGGCGCAACAGAGGAGTGGTGTGCTCCCTGAGTGCCGCTCCTGTTAACAACCTGGCTGCCGATTGTTGGACCATTTGTAGCTTCTGAGCAGTCTTCATAGGCAACCCCACGTAGAGAGCGTTGCAGTAATCTCTATGGGATGTAACCAGAGAGTGGACCACCGTGGCCAAGTCAGACTTCCCAAGATACGGGCGCAGCTGGCGCACAAGTTTTAATTGTGCGAATGCACCCCTGGTCACCGCCGAAACCTGGGGTTCCAGGCTCAGCGATGAGTCCAGGATCACACCCAAGCTGCAAACCTGCGTCTTCAGGGGGAGTGTAACCCCGTCAAACACAGGCTGTAACCCTATACCCTGTTCGGCCTTGCGACTGACCAGGAGTACCTCTGTCTTGCCTGGATTCAGTTTCAATTTGTTCGCCCTCATCCAGACCGTTACAGCGGCCAAGCACCGGTTCAGGACTTCGACAGCCTCCTTAGTAGCAGGTGGGAAGGAGTGACAGAGTTGGACATCATCTGCGTACAGATGACACCGTACCCCGAAACTCCGGATGATCTCCCCCAATGGCTTTATGTAGATGTTAAACAACATAGGAGACAAGATTGAGCCCTGAGGAACCCCACAAGACAATGGTTGTGGGGTAGAACAGGTGTCTCCCAATAACACCTTCTTGGGAGGTGTTCTACATTATTCTACATATAGGTGGCGCCACACGCGCCGTCACACTATATTATATTAACTAATCCTGTTCATTTGCTCTGTTTCCATGATTTTTCCTATGCCGTTATTCATTGCCATCTACCTTACTAAACCACTTTATCCTTTAACTAGTTCACGTGGTGGTTTTCCCCCCCCCCCCCCCCCCCGCCTCCAAAATTAGTCTGCTGTTATTGTTGTTGCTAGCCATTTTTGTTATGTTGTTTTATGCTGGTTTTATGTTATTTTAATTTTTATTGCTTTATTTTAATTGTATTCTGCCTGGGCTTTGGCCCCATGTAAGCCACCCTGAGTCCCTTCAGGGAGATGGATTCGGGATAGAAAAATAAAGTTCTTCTTGGTTGTTGTAGGTTTTTTTGGGCTATATGGTCATGTTCTAAAGGCATTTTCTCCCGACGTTTCGCCTGCATCTATGGTAAGCATCCTCAGAGGTACCTCACTACCTCTGAGGATGCTTGCCATAGATGCAGGTGAAACGTCAGGAGAAAATGCCTTTAGAACAAGACCATATAGCCCGAAAAAACCTACAACAACCCAGTGATTCCAGTCATGATAGCCTTCAACAATACAAAGTTCTTCTTCTTCTAGTGAAATCTTTCCAAAGACTCATTACACTGGTCAATACACATTTTGCTTGACTAATCTGGTTATTGTGAACAGGTCTCTTCACTATGGATGGAAGAAAATGCTAGCTTAATTGTTCATTATGACTGAAATCCTCACTTCTGCCTCTAGAATGAAAAAGAGACAAACCTTGAAAAGTGAACATGAGCAGACAGAGAGAGAGCAGAGGTATTCTTTGTAACCAATTGAAAATGAAGGCTTGGCAATGGTCTCTGTAAATATTTCACTTAAAGAAACCAATGCAGGTTTAGTTATTATACAATCTGCTTTGAAAATCTGCTTGCTTTATATATACCGTATGATGCTTGTATATTTCTGAATAGATAGCTATCAAAAATACATCACACCTTCTGTGCATTTGCTTTCTCTCTTTGTCTGTTTCCCAGTGCGACCCTGCTCTGGGTTGGGGGCTGCAA